TAATAATAACCTTTTTGAAAATTGGGGTGTTACAAATAGACTTCTAAGCACTGTAAACAAGGTGAGGTTGCTTGGGACATAAATTTTCGATACAAGGATAGTGTAGAAAATCCTTGTGACTCTTCCTAAGAGGTTTGAATCCACCATATGAAGAATTGTTCAAGGAGCTAGATAGGAAAATTATAATTGGCAATGAAAAGTGCATAGCTGTGAAAGGGAAGGACACTATTGCAATTGAAAGTTGTTCAGGTACAAAAATAATCACTGTTGTACTTTATGTACCTGAAATTAATCAAAGCTTGTTAAGTGTTGGACAGTTACTTGAAAAAGGCTACAAAATTTTGTTTGAAGACAAAATGTGTTTGACCAAAGATGCAAGTGGACATGATCTGTTTAAGGTCAAAATGAAGGGAAAAAGATTCTCTTTAAGAGGAGTTTTGCATGATTGAAAAAGAACCAAACTTGGGAATTGGTTTCTAGACCTCAACATCAAAATGTTATTAGTCTTAAATGGGTGTTTAGAACCAAACTCAATGCATATGGTTCCATTAATAAGCACAAGGTCAGGCTTGTAGTGAAGGAATATGCTAAAAAAATATGGAGTTGATTGCTATGAAACATTTGCTCCCATTGCCCGACTTGATACCCTCAAATTGGTTCTAGCTTTTGCAGCACAAAATGGCTAGAATGTGTTTCAACTAGATATAAAATCTGCTTTTCTAAATGGTTATTTAGAAGAGGAGATATGTGTAAAACCTGAAAGTTGTGGTTAAAGGACAAGAAGACAAGGTCTATTTGCTAAAAAAGGCCTTGTATGGTTTGAAGCAAGCTCCAAGGGTCTGGTATAACACAATTGATGAGTACTTACTGAGTATTGGCTTCACAAAAAGTCTCAGTGAGTCAACTCTCTATGTGAAATGCTTTAATTCTGCAATTTTAATTGTTTCTTTGTATGTGGATGACCTTTTAGTGATAGAAAATAGTATTGCATTTGTTGAGGAGTTCAAGCAAGATATGATGAAAGTTTTTGAGACGAATGATTGTGAAAAAATGGCTTTCTTTCTTGGCTTGAAAGTCAAACAAGACCATAAAGGAATTTTTATCAATCAGAAGAAATATGCAAAAGAAATTTTGAAGAAGTTTTAAATGGAAAACTCTAAGCCTATGAGTACTCCAATGTTTCAAAAGTTGATGCTTTGCAAAGAGGACGGTGCAGAAAAGGTTAATGAGGCTGAATTTAGAAGTCTTGTTGGGTGCTTAATGTGTCTTGTGACAACAAGACCTAATATTTTGCAAGCTGTAAGTCTTCTCTCTAAATTCAAACATGTAAGTAAAGTACATCTTCAAGCTGATAAACGTGTGCTAAGATATGTTAAAGGTACTCTTGACTATGGAGTAAGGTTCAAATATGATCAAGAATTTAATTTCCATGGATTTTTTGATAGCGATTAGGGAGGTTCATTGGATGATATGAAAAGCACTTCTGGTTATTGTTTTTACATCAGGTTCAAGAATGTTTTCATGGGCCTTAAGAAAGCAAGAAGACAATGTGGCATAGTCAACTACAGAAGCAGAGCTCATAGCTACTGCTGAAGCTGTTAATCAAGCTTTATGGTTGAGGAAAATTCTAGATGATCTACAAGTGGTTCAGACAAATCCAACTAAGGTATTTGTAGACAATCAAGCAGCAATTGCAATTTTAAAAATCCAATCTTTCATAGCAAGACTAAACACTTCAATGTTAAGCTGTATTATGTTAGAGATTTTTAGAAAAAAGATGATGTTGTGTTAGTATTGCAAGACAGAAGATCAATTGACAAACATCTTTACAAAGGCACTTCCAAAAGGAAAGTTTGAAAACTTGAAAGGGAAACTTGGAGTCAATAGCTACTGATACAAGGAGGAGTGTTAAGAATCTGAATCAACATCTATTATATGAGTTTATTTCAGATTAATGGAACATTATTAGAATTCCTACAGTTATGAATTTTAATTATAGGAATTATAAGTATTGTTACACTTTTATGAGTATTTACATTTGTCATTTATTTTATATTTATGAGTAGAATTTGTATCAGCTTGCAATTTTGTTTTGTGTATTTAAAAGTTGTAAGTATGAATAAAAATACATGAGTTTTAGCTTTCTAATTTTTCTAAATTCCTACATATACAAACAACATTAAAAAATTTCCTATAGAAACGGTACCCCTAAGGAAAAGCCAAAAAATATGAGAGTTCAAGCATCACATTGTTATCCAACGCCAGTACAGAACCTCTCCTGCCTCTCCATCAAATATAAACTTCAAATTCTTTTCCCCTTCATCTGCTCTACTGTAGTTGAATAACCAGTTGCACTGTTATCATTGACACAACCTTGATAGTTCCATCATTCATCAGTTTTGTTTTCAGTTAAATATGGTTCCTATTTTGGTTGAAGACTAATTAATAATGGTCATAGATAATAGGGTATATTCACCACAAGTATTTATGACATCTGCTTCTTCCTGCAGTGACAGTGCAAGCTCAAGCTGAACTTCAACTTCACCCATTGCTGGTCGCTCATTTGGATCAAACTTCAAGCATCTTTCTGTGATATCCATAAATACCTCCCAACACTCTGCTGCAATCTTTCCTTTCAGACTCGGATCAATATTCTCCTCAACAGGCTGCTTCTGCCTCTTCTCAACAACTTTTAGCTTGTCTTTGCATACCACTTCTAGTAGAACTACGCCAAAGGAGTAAACATCGCATTTATCTGTTAATGCATTGTTTTCTGAAATCTCGGGAGCCCCATAACCATATGTACCTATAAGTGGAAGTGTTTAATGAACATTACAGAAAATTATTTTCAATAAACTAGCCACAAAACAAGAATAAATACCTATAAAGCCATCTTTTGATATTGTCTTTGGTGTTGGCTTTGATGCATAATGTGGTCCTTTTAAGGAAACTCGCAAGTCTGAGAGTTTGGCCGCCATGTTGCTATCCAAAAGAATTTTATAAGGTGTTATGTCACGATGAAAGATGGTTCGCTTGGCACCTGTGTGAAGATAGTGTAGTCCACGTGCTGCTCCTATGCAGATCTTTAGCCTCTGCTTCCATGTTAGTGGTTCCATTTTCACATCACTACAATATAGGTGATCATGGAGAGATCCATTGGTCATGTACTCATATACAATATTCTTCTCGTCTTTGTGATCATAAAATCCAATTAGAGTGACCAAATTTGGATGACGAAGCTGGCAGAGTAACTCAATTTCGTTCTTGAACTGCTTAAGTTCTTTCTCTGTGCTCCCACATATTCGCATGATTGCAACTGTACTTTCACCATTGTGTTGGAGAGAACCCTTATATACAATACCAAGGTCTCCACTTCCAACTATTCGGTTTTCATCAAAGTTGTTGGTTGATTTTCTAAGATCGCCCAACAAAAATTGTTGACATAGCTCCTCTATCACTATTGGATACTGTCGTTGAGATGAACCCGTATGCTTCGAACAGCAGAAGCCCAAAGATTTTATAAATATCATCCCAACTTATACCTGTTTTGTTTTCATTCACAATAATATTCAACTTTCATTCTTCATAGACAATCTTATCTGAACTTTGCATCCTGAACATGAATGCTCATCTTTTTGAAACCAAAATTAAAAACATTAGAACGTATCTCTTAGGGGTGGAAAATTTGTGGGTAATTATGAATATACAAATTAAGAGGAAGTTATAGAGTAGCATTCTTAAGTGCAAACTTCATTACCCTATTTAATGATTTCAGGATTGTGGTCAGAAGGACTAGGTGTTAACCTACGGTTTGTTATTGACAAAGATACACTGCACTCAAGATGCTCTCCCACCTTGTTTTCTTTCCTTAGTTTTTACACTTTCCTTTTCAATCTAAGTCTGCTTCTGTACCAAAAAGTTAATCTGATTAGTTTTGATTTCACATATCCCTGCGTTTCATTTCAAAATGGAAAATAAAGGAAAGATAAGGAAAGTGCTTTTTTAATTCTCATATTTTGCGTATAACAATCAAACTTTATACAACTAGATCAAATTTAAAGTAGATACTGGACCATCTTCTATGCAAGTGATGTAAAACTAACATTAAACCAAAGAGGAAATATAGACACCCAAAATAATAAAATAAAATGAATTCAATGGTAGTTTGCATGTTTTAAGAACGAGAGAATATAGAGATGTTGAATATTACAAAAGATTACCCGGAGATGAAGGCAAGGCAGAAACAATACTTCAAACTTCTGTTCAG